CAAAGTCGTCGATTAGGCCCGCACCAAGCACGCAAGAGAATTTCCGGAAGTTTGGCATTCATCGGAAAACTCGGTCAACCGACACATTGAAATCGTTCAAGTCTACACCCTCATGCAATAAAAGGACCAATCAACTCAAAGAAGGTGGGTCGTGTCACACGTGACAACAGTAACGCTTAGACTGATCGATCAACGTCCAGCCGTCAGAGTGCTCGCGTTCACCTCATCCCCTATCGGTGCAAGACGAACAAACCTCGGCCAATCAGGCAACGCCACATCTCTACATCCCTCAACGACCTCTATAAGGAAAAGTACACTCGTAAACGCTTACCCAGTTACTGTATTGAGAATGCCACCTCGATTGGTGATGAAACGTTTGCAATACCATTGCCAAGCTCGGCGAACAACTGAAAATCGTAAATATATACGGCTCCAACAATTAGATCTTTACCTCGAATCGAGCCCAATATTCTTACTAAACAGATTTATTCCATTGCGGCCAAAAACAATATCAACATTAACATTGGGTTGCACAGTCAACAAATCAAATTAATACTAGTTCTGTAAGGTTTCAACGACAATTTTTGTCAACTCGACTTGCCCTTCGATCTGACCGAACTCGATCGGCATGTTTTTATTTCCATTACACCCACAATGAACAACAGACGGGATAAACCTCATAATCACGAGGGAACCGATAATCTAAACCCCAGGAGTTGGAATGATAAATCTAATCACGGTACAACAATTCGTAAAAGAATGAAAAAAATCCACGACTTGTTAGTGGGCGGGATACTGCCAGGCTGAACAGTGGAATACACACCCGAAACCTTGGGTTAGCCACAATCAGACCCGCAGTAGATTGGAACCGGTATTTAGTTCATCAGATCATACGCCCTTTGGAAGGAATTAAACTTAAAAGGTGACCAATACATTTCAGTTCAGTTTTACAACCGTGAACCATGCAATTTCGTGCACCTATTTTGATTACTGTCACATGACTACCAATTAGGATAAAAGGGTAGAAGAATGGGATGTCGCCAGAAAAGCCGAAGAGAATAAAGAGAATTCACATGGACTAATGTCGCAAAGATAATGATTACATGCACGAGTGTCACTGTTTGCGACACTTGACGATGTCACTGTGTCTCTAACCACCGGTTACGATGATTCTGTAGTCCCCAACCAGGAAGCGTAACGCGGCCTACGTAAGCAGGTCTCCTGATCGGGGTTTTCATATCATATAACGTCTGAGTTTAACCACCTTTGACCCTTTTCTACAAAACAATTGCCTCGGCAAACAGCACGCGCCGTGTTACTCTGTTTGGTGACAAGCGTAAAACATGCCCTAAACAACGCAGTCTATGTAAGTCGACTAATTTCTTCAGTGGGTAACCGCAATTACCTAAAACTGCTCCTAACATCACCATTGCTTATAGGGTTTCCCCACCAGACTCCTGAAATGCTACGTAAACAACTTAATGCCTAATCAAGCCGGTGACCACTACCCAAACCAGGAAGATGGATGTGGTTCTTACGCCTGATCTTGGTTGGTTTGGAATCAGTCCTGTTTGCTAACTCCCCTAGTTGAACTGCCGGTTGTTCACCCACACGGTTATAGCCTCAGATGTTGGCTTTTCATTCCTTCACTTCGGTAGGAAAACATCTTCGACACTTGAGGATATTTATAAAGGCTTCCTCAACCGAGGCTATTTGAGAAGCTTGGTTGTGCAAGAGCATTTCGCTAGGTACAAGGGAAGGGTGACCAATCACAACCCAAGACACCCACTCGCGCTCATGCTGAGGATTTCGAAGGTGAATTATACAAGGACCAGTCGGTTTACCAGTACTAGGAGAACCATTCCGGAGGTCACATTCACATTATACTTGAGATGTATAGGAGCACAATATGAGCCCCGTCGAACGTCCAGTGTAAATTCCCATGTTCAAGTTTGCAACGCGGACTCCAGGAGTTGTACTCCTAAAATTTATTCCCCCCGTGAAACGTCGTTCGATTTGGAAAAGCCGATCTGGATATAGAGTCCAAATGAAACTCGCACGAGTCCTACCAGAGACCAACAAGAACCAACGTAGGCAAACTTAACTACTTACTGTCGCGTGAAAAGTGGAGAAAAGAGGTTAAGAGTTAGGTGAGTTAGGGTCGGATGACAGGTGAATGATGACGACTGCCGTAATAACGCCTATTTGTGTTTATCTCTCATCACTTTCGTTGGTGTTGCTTTTTAGCCGTGCTGGTTTCCAAAGTGAAGAAATATTAAGAAATATTAAACGGCTGCTACC